GGTGTAGCTAATATATGCAAGGCACAGGTTGATTTTTGAACATCCTTTATGAAATATTACCTCTGCTGAAGTTACATCGTAGGGCGATTTAGCAATGACTTCTCTCATTTTATTGCTTCGGTAGGCAAGATTTGTCGAAAACATCCACCTTAGTCATTAGACTAACTCACAGTGGGGCGCAGCACAGAGGGCAGTCCCATCTCGACTAATTGGGAGGACATGGAGAAACTGTTTTCAGTGAAATTTCCACTTGTGAGGTACAGGCGCTGGTGGGAATTCTGAGCACAGGAAGTGATAATCGAGCAACAGTGAGTGAGCGTTCTGTCAGGATGAAACGGAACTCAGTAACATTAGATATTTAAATTTGTGGGTTTTGAAATAGTATTATTATTAGGATTGGCTTTAATGATTCAACCTGAGTGAGAGGGACTTTCTTTGTTCATGATGTGCCTCTCGTTTTCCTAAGCTCTGCCTCGTATTCACAAAAAAATAATAACTAGTATGAATAACAATTGATGTCTTCTCTAAAGCAATTTTGGCTGAATTATGAGATTGGAATAAGATATAATCGCTCGGTCCTTCTTTGTAAAACTGAAGTAAAAGATTCTCTAATAGTCGTTAAAACTGGATTTGCCGGACTTTTAAATATAAATGAATGTCCATTATATTCAAGCTTTTAGCAAATAATTTCACACAAAGCTTAAGATTTCAAATGTTACTTTATTTCCTCTGAATGCATAATTTCTTTTTTATTTTCAGCATTCTTAGGATTTCCAACATAGCTGTCGCCACACTGCTTACTGCTGCTCAGTCACTATCGTCTCTTCCATATGATAATTGCCAGAGGGGGTAAAAAGTCACTTCACACTCCAGCTTTAATAGTAGTTTTATTTTTTCAAAGATCCCAGTGGCTTTCTGGGACTTGCTGATGCAAACCTCTGATACACTTATACTAACACACACTTTGAAGAAGTTCCCTTAACTGACAAGGATTGAAGGAAAAATGGGTTGTTTTTTTATTCAATGTGATAGAAAGCGTTATTGAATATGAAAGCCGTCATATGTACTAGAAGACAGTTACGCATCTTTGCACATAGATGTTTGATTTAAAGGTCCCATGTCATGCTTTTCTGGTTATTACCTATCCCCTTGTGTGTTATGAAGCTTGTTATGCATGTAAACGATCTGCAGAGTCACAAACCCTCAAAGTACACCCTGTAGCGAGTAAAACTCTAACACAGAAAAGACGTGTCTATGCTGCCCCAGAACGCCTCGTTGGAGATTTCTATTTTTCTTCCTGGTACTAAGTGAAGTAACGACGACCCAAATGGACCAATCCGCGGAGCCGTTACGTTACGTCCGCGGAGCCGTTACGTTAAGTCCGTGGATCAATCCAAATTGACCAATCCGCGGAATTCCTCACACACACTCAATCTTTTCTCAGCTGCAGCTCCGCGGATTTCCCAGCCTGGAAGGCGGGACGCGGCGAGTCTGTTTGTGAGCACACACACAGACTCACAGCCAAGCTGTGGGTTTGTGTGTTCGGCACAATGTAAATCTATTCTAGTAGACCTCAACAATGGAATTATGATCAGTAGAAATGGCCATGACATGGGACCTTTAAGAACTCCTCAATTTGTCCAAATGTATGACTATAACAATGTGTAACAGGGACAGTCCAGCCAAAAACACATACTGTATAATTCTAACATCTCTTACTCATGCAATGGACCTTTGTTGAATCTCATCCCTTATTCCCCTTCCTTCCTTACAATTCGTGTCTGAAACACACCTGAATGTAGTACAGTTGCGTTGTGGGTAAGTGCAAACTTTAAAAGTGTGTAAATAAATATTTGAGCAGTAAACAGACGGTTTCAACATGTCGGTGCCATATCTAAATGATCATCTTCTGTCTGCATAATAAGCCGTATATCATACTTCTGTAGTGGATTTCATAAATGGTATATTTCCAACTCATCTCTTTTACTGGAACTCACTTTGGTGAAGACAAGCTCAACTCAAGTACATTTGAGTTTACTGGCACATGCACGCAGCACTTTACTCAACCAACATTGGGAGAAAAAGACATTTGCATTTGTTTGGAGTATACAGAAACCTTAAGAGCTAAGAGTTTGAGAGCTGGCTCAGGGACAGCCCAGCAGAGAAATGATCATAAATAGTGAAAGATAAATCACATATGTGTGTAAGTGAGCCAGACTGAGACACCTGGGCTCATTGCCAACGGCAGATTTCACCCTTTCAATAGCATTGGTTGATAGTGTTGAGAGATAAGTAGCCACAATGTGTAGATGTATGCATACAATGTCCAGAGCACATTGTTAGACATGTTGCACCTACATCTTCCCCTTCCAGTGTCCTTCACAAAGCCTTCAAGGGGGCACTCCATTACAAATTCCATCCATTACATTTCCATTAGGACTTAAAATGGGGGGAATAGAGTATGTGGTCTCATTGTCTGGTGGGATCAATAAGGATGTTTTATGGCCTGTGCAATGTGAAACTATTGATCCTGAGATTGCTCAATGGCCTCAATATACAGTCAGTGCAACCTAAATGACCTTGGCAGAAAGGCAGAACATTGAACAATGCTTGTTAATTATGTGCCTTTTGAATCAAAGGAAATATTAAAATATGTGTAGTTTACAGTTTTTAGATAGGCTTTCTTCTTTGCCAAGCAGTTAGCTTAAAATATAAAAAATCTAATGAAAACATGCCTGGCTATTGAATTTTTTGTTTTATCACTGTATTGCTAACAGAAAAGAAGATATTAATTAACGCAAGTATAATTTCAATGAGACCTTCAGATCCATCAGAGGCAGCTGAGACATGTGGCAAAAAAGCTAATACTAGCTTACAGCTGTGCTAGCATACAAGGAAGAGTAGCAAAATAAGGCAACATTTTATGAAGCCTAATCACAGCTAAAGAAGCACCAGAACATAAACATTTATCTTAGCCACTTATCAAAATATGTTTAAATGTAAAGACTATTTGTAAGCCGTAGTTAACTTCAGCTGTTAAGCTAACATGTTAGCCGAATAGCACATGCTAGCACAAGTCAGTCACAATAACTCTCTGAGGTTCTTTTCACTGTATTGTGTCATTTCAATAACACATTATTAAATTGACATTCTTGGGGAGAATACCACCAACATTATAGGTCTCTACGAGTGCTTAGAGATACATTTTGTCTGTAGTTCAGTCTGTCAGGACTTGGGAACTGGAGTCCCAAAAGTACGGACTGGTATTTTGAAAGGTGCCATTTCTTCTCTTTGCCGAGGTGCCCTTGAGCAAGGTGCCAGATTGCAAAATCTAAACTTTTCTGTTGGTCGGTGCTCTGTATATTCCCATGCTTTGATGATTGAGAAGGATTTCATTTGAATCCTCCATTTCCATTTTCCACTCCTATTATAGCTGCCCTATTATATTTGTAACCTTTTATGCAGTATCTTGACATCCAACTAATGGATGTGTTATTCTTACCTCCACACTAATGCAGTTGGCATTTATAAAATGCAGTTCTACTTCTCAGTATTCAAATTGCACTAAGGTCATGTTCATGCATACATCAGTGTAAGATAAGATAGACTTTATTATCTCAGTGGGAAATTTGCCTTAAACATCACAGTGTCTGCAATTTTAAATCAGAGCAAAACAACAATAAAAAAAAGACATTCATCCTTCCATTGCTAATGCCCATCTAGATCACAAAAAAGTGCACACATAGCCCCATATATTTAATAGTAATAGACGGAAAATAGGAGATATAAGGCAGGCAAATATTTCAACCTAGGGGATGGTAAGTACTGCTAAAAATAAGCTGCTGCATTGAGGTAGTGGGAGGGCATTATCAGACACAATCACAAATGCAAACAGATATCAGAACACAATCTACTATACAGTATAATTAAATGAATTGCAAGATCCACTATGTTACACCTTGCACTTGCAGCTCTGTGCTGTTCCAATTGCTTTGATGACTCTTATTAATAACTGCATGCATTCTGTGAAGGAAATGTTTATTTTGCTATCTGTTCTTCTTCTTCCCTCTCTGTGTGTCTTTGATGTTACCCTGAATGCCCTCTGTATCGCGCTGATTCATAATATCAGTTCACATTTTCTCTGGCCCCTGGCGAATGTGCTTTGGTAGATCTCTTGATTGGTACAGTAAGTGTAGTAAAATGCTTGAGTGTGCAAAATGAAGTCAAGATTAGCTGTTCCGCCCGAGTTTGACGCTCTATCTGATTCCAAATGAGGATATTTTCTCTCCATTTATCTGTCCAAGACAATGTCCCTTTCAGATAGGTGTAAGCAAGCCAAGGCTGCACTCCTACCTATTACCTCCCCTGACTTGTCCTCTTGTAGAATAAATGAATGGGCAGCATGTTAAGCTCAATAATGTGCATCTTTAAGAGTAGATTGATCTCAAATCTGATAATTCTATGTTTCATTAAATGCCTTCCGAGAAACCTTTCTCTCCATGAGGTAAGATCATCTGTCTAAAGTGGAATGAAAACCACCTGAGTTCACCTTTTATGTTCCTGATCCTGCATTTTGGTCCACTTCCTTTTCATTTGTTGTATTTTTTTGTGCATGTCATTGCAGTTTTCTTTATTTATTTTAAAATATTTTTCTTTGATCATTACATAACTTGTTACTGTGTGGCCCTCCTATGTTTCATGTCTTCTCACGAAATGTCCTTGAAACTGCTGTGATGATGCAACGTCAGTTTATTTGGTGCAAAGCTGCACAGTGACACCAGACTAACATGAGGTGGTCCCTGGAATACTCCACCAAAATTGTACCACTTGCATATCAAGTACTTGCGCCCCTCTAGTTTCAAGGGGTGGCTTTTAACATTTTGAAAAGTGCTTTTTTATGGAGAAGAGCATCTTTATATCAGCAAATAAATCAGTAGCCAGTACCAGTAACCAATCATCTGCATTTTCAGTGGAGTATTTCTCTCACTGCCCTTCAAAAACTGATAACTTTTGTTATCTCAATTTCAAAGCAAACATCCCATTTGTATTGTCGAGTGCTCGAGGGTCTGCAGCATGTGCTATTAATGCAGATACACATCGTCTCTTAACTCCTGCTGGGAATTAATCTATCCATCTTCCTTCTCTCCTTTTTTCCAGTTGACCAAAGTATGTTTGAGAACTCCGTTGCCCAGCAGCAGAGTCCTCAGACGTCCAGGCCCGGCCCCCCCTCGGCCCGCCGCCCCCCAGCATCAGCTAACCACAACCTGGGGTCCAGCTCCGTCGACTCTCCTTCCTCCGGAGGACAGCAGAGGCTTAAGAATGCCATTAACCTGGGCAAGGCTGTCGGGGCAAAGGTGAGCTCAGCCAAAGGATTAACTTCTTTACACCTCATTTATTCTTTAAACACTTGATATTTGGGTCATAGCGTACATTTCATATCTTTATTGCTGTACCAGTGGAGTTCATTTGAGTACTTCTTGTCTTTTCTGACTTTCTTTTTTCTTCCTCTCTGTCTTTTTTCTGTCTGTCAATCTTTGGCCCTTCCTTTTCTTTCTTTCTCTCAGGTCAATGACTTGTTAAGAAGAAAGGAGTCCAGCCACCTGGGGGACATTGGGGTCACAGAGGTCAACAAGAACGTTGATGTGGTGTGGAGCTGTATGGAGCAACTCAATCAGACCACTGCAAACAGGTAAACACACACACATATTTCTCCTTTATATTGAGTGTGGAGGAAAGTAATTATTGTTGGTCAGATTAAACTTCTCAAACTTAATTTAAACTTTAATCTTGAAGATCACAAAGTAGTTTACAGACTCGTCCCTCACAGGTTGTTGGTTTGATTCACATATTGACTAAGACAGTTTTATTTTGTATTAGACCTTATAAAAGGTCATTGTTTGCTCCTATTGTACTGTATGTATTTCTTTTTGTGGATACATTTGTAAAAAAAAGTCACAAAAGCTTCCAAGGCTATGCATTCAATTATTTTGATTAAACCACTGAAAGACATATTTTCTGTTAAAATATGAAATGACCCTTTACTGACAGAAGTGTCTGTAACTGTAAATAAGGCAGGAAAGGCGAAGGAATTATTATTTTTCCACTGAAATGGGGTTATAGAATGAATAATGACTACAAAGGCAGCTGTGAGACGTCTGAAGTTCAATAACTCTGAAGTGTTCAGCTTCTTACTCGGTCAAAATGGTAATGCCTTTAACTGTGTATTCATTCCCTGCTCACATGCACACACTCATCCAGGTTGTTTTGCATATCATATTTAAGGATTTGTTCCAGAAGTATTTTTCTTTTGTCTCTCCTAATAAAAATAATTCGAGTAGAAGTGATTTTTGAGCAGCTCTTTGAATACATTGAATTTTTACTGGGTGGGTAAATCTGTTTTAAAAGGATTTAAAAACAGATTTAAAGCCAGAATGCGTGGAAATAAATATGTGGTGTTCTCAAGCCCAGAACATGTAAGAGCATCTTTACAGCATGACCTCATTCATCCCATCATTTAGTTTCTTCTTGAGGATGTTAATTACATGCTCGAAAATACGACTACATAGGCACTGCAGACCAGACACATATTCTGAATGAAATTAAGAAAATAATCAACATGACTAGCAAAACATTTTCAAAGTGAGATCCCAAGCCTTAAGTCAAGTTACATTTTTCATATTTGGGCTTGGTAGAAGTTATCTTGGTAGAAATGATCTTGGTGGAAGGCCAAGTGTAGTCGAGCCATTAGAAGTCAGAGTTCAGTTGCATGGTCTTTTATCATTTTTATCAAACGAAGTCTAAAGTCTTCAAATGTGTGACTTTGTCCGTCTCGAGTCCAGTCTTGAGTCTTGAGTCTCTGAGTCAAATCCCACTTAGGCTTTATTCAACAGGCCCCTTGCTTCTCTGGATCACTTTGATGCTCAATAATGTTTTTTACTGTCTGTTAATATCTCTGTATCAATTCGCTCCCCCAGTCACATCTCTTCCTTCGACTCCTTCCCCCGGCTGGACCCACCACCCCCGACGGGGAAGAAGCGTCTGCCCCGGGCTCTGAAGACCACCCAGGACATGATGATCTCCTCTGACCCCGTGGTCTCCTCCCCGGACCCCGCTGACTCTTCCTCCTTCCTCTCCTCTCCCGAGAAGTCGCCCCTCATCGGCCCAGAGGAGCCGAGGAACAGTGAGGAGCAGGAGCGGGGCCAAAAGGAGGACGAGGGGTCAGAGGAGACCCCCCTGGGCCCCGCAGAGAAGAATGCTGATCGCTGGGAGAAGACGGAGAGCAATGGAAAAGTCCATGGAGTCACAGGTGGAGGAGAAAACGAGGTGGAGAGCGGGAGCAGTGACGGAGGCGAGGAGGAACATCAGCCCCAGCTCTCTGTGCCGGACCTCATCAACAAAGACCCCCCGATGGTGGAGCCCAGAGCCAAGCCCTGCGACGTCTGGCAGAAGGCGTCGGGGCCCGAGTCCCGTCTGGCCTCCACCCCTTCGGGGAAGACCTCCTGCCGCATCAGCCTGGGCGAAGACATCCTGCTGGGGAACGGTGCCCCCTGCAGTAAAGGGGCTGAAGACCTGGAGCCCCACCCCGACCTGCTGTCGTTTGAGTAACAAGCCAGATTCCAGATCAGTACGTCTCAAAAGAATTCTGCTCTTCATTCCAACTAAAGAGGTAATTCAAACGGACTGATGGAGTACTGATCAAACATTCACTGCTACTTTGAAATACTTCCTGCTTCAGGGTTTGCTTTAGGGAAAGGGAACACTTCCAGGAATCAGGACATGGCCCCGATCTTTTTACCAAGACACTGCTAGCTTCATGCAGAGGGAATACATAATCTAACATTTCAAACTATAAAACACACACATATTAAGGATTCATTTTTTCATTTAGTGTTTTAACACTTCCAAAGTTTTATATCATGTAACCTCTGCTTTAGTTATGAAGAAATATCAGATAATGAATTTAATTGAAGAAATGAAATATCCCTTTTAATGGGCGGAATAAGTCATAACTACTCAATTCTGACAAAGATTATTACTTTCAAAGAATGTATTAAGTTATTATAGTATCATGCCATTCATTTTAAAAGGGATATTTGCTTCATAATGGTCACACTGCAAGTCCATTTCCTACATAAACTTCTACTTATATTATATTACAATATATATAAAGCAATATCTTTTAAATTCAATATAAATATAAGTTATAGCAGATTTTTCCTAAGTGTAATTTCCAGAATGAAAACTGAGTACACAAAGGGAAACAAGATGGAGAGGCTCGTTGAGTGCGGACGTGTTAAAGATGGAGAGGTTTGGGGGGGGCGCTTCACTTTCAGTTCACTCGGTACAAAATGTCTTGCAGCAGTTTCTCAGATTGTGTCAGGACTGGAAGACTTTTGACCCGTACTGTAGCTTCATTCATATTAAGTAATGTATCCCCCTATTGGTCCAGAAAGAGCTATACATAATCCGCTCCTACACTGGCCCCTGGCACAGATTGTGATCCTGAAAATGACCTCTTTTTATTTTTTAAAGTAAGATTATTGACCTGCATCCCAATCAATAGGTCACCTCTGTTTTGATTTATTTATATTTAAGAAATCTGGGATAGTAATTTTAAAAAGAAAAACAAGCAGGGAAAATAAAAGGCAGTGCCAAAATCATGCAAGATTTTTAAGAGTTAGGACTTTTTTAAAGGACATGTATTGCTCTTTGCTGGGTCTAGATTAAACAGTGTTTCAGAACATAAACAATACTACATTTAAAAGACTGTATTATGTGGTGCTGGCATATTACAATAACAAATGAGGCAGCTTTGCCCTGGACCCCAGTCAATATGAACTAATATGTCCTGAGCAAATATTAGTAGAAACAAAATTGAGCAATTTGCGGGACCAGATTGAGGGAATTTAAATGAGCGCATCTCTGGTCCAAAATGAGAATGACTTTCAGGCTTCATTACTGCTGACATTTTTTTTATTTTATGAACTGAAAGTAGACTTCTTATTATACCCCGAAACCTCACAGAGTCTGGATGAAAGGATGGGCTCCTGAGAAGTTGTTTTCCAGCTAAAGAGCCCGAGAAGATAATGAGCTGTCAACAGAGAGAGATGAAAGGTGTGCTTAATCACCGAGTGACAGACCAAAGACGAAAGAATTAGCGGCTCGATCTTGTTTTGTCCGATTGTTTTGAGTTGAAAGGAAGCAATAATTCATGAGGAATATATAATCTTCTCCTTAATGTGATGGAAAAATGTAAACCAAAGTCAGAGCATTTGAAATATTTAATAGCGATTCACTGGCTTGTTTTTGATTTTCTGACTTTTCTGACTCACCAGAGACTGAGTCAGCTTAAAGGTGAGCTGATATTAACACTAAATAACCTGCTGCTGCGTTATCTGCTTCGACTGAATCAATGTGTGGCTGTTGCAGAAGTTGTCTTAGAGAAATTCTGTATTTTATCAACCCTATTATCCGAGCATTAGTGTGTTTTTATTACACTTCACACAAGGATACAAATTGCAAATTTCAAAGACTTGAAATTTCTGTGAGATCCTCAAGTGGCCTCTGTGAGTGACCGCTGTGTCCTCGTAAGGATTTCCTGACTTCAAAGATAAAGGGTGAAAATTCCCAGAAGACAGTGAGAGGGACACAGAGCCAGCTGTAGTTTGGCCCAGCAGAATGAGAGGAATGTGGCACAAAGAGAAAGGAAGCTTTGTCTCTCTGACTCCGTCTTACATACCACAAGTGTCCTCATTTATTTGAAGCTGTAACAAAACAGCTCAACCAAATTACAAACAATAATTTCCGAATTCTTTCGACCTTTTTGTAGACCGTTTAATACATTTTATCTTAAGTCTTAATAGAAAAAACATTATGTAGATTGTACAGAGGGCCTTTTGTGGAATCGCTCTGCTGAGTTTCCAAATGTCATGTTCGAGTGCTTTTATGAGCGCAAACTAAATCTATCTCCACCATATCGGGGTGGCGGATGTTTCCTAAATGAAACCATTTGCATTGCTAGATGACACCTTAGTGGAAAATGTGTTAACTGAACTGGCCCTTAAATATCTGTGGGACTAGAGGGTGGAAAGCAAAAAGACCAGAACTTGAGACCTTTACTAAAGTGGTGATTGTAATTACCCAAATATAGGCCAAAACTTAATGTGTCACCCTAAAAAATAGGACTTTTTATTTTAGGCTTCAGTTGTACTAATTGAACTTTTCTCGAAGCCCCTGAAAACATACTTCAAATAATTTTTGCATTTCTGATACTATTAGGTGGTTATCACTAAATGTGCAACAATCAAGTTTGAAACAACGCTCTTAAGTGTTATTTATAAAGGTTTTACTGGTCAAATACTCTGATGTGATCACATTTAATTGACAATGTTGTTGATTTGACTCAAATGATGTTGATGGAATGTACATTTGTTGCTTTTGTTCTCAACTAAGTGCATTTTGAACCAGTGTGAACCACAAATATCCCATTGAAAATAATCAAAATATTTCCAACTTTGTCAGAAATGCTCCGTTCATGTTGTGTTTTCATGGACTTAAAACTAAAAAAAGGATTGTGTCTGTGTGTCTCCTGAATCTGACTTGTATTTGAAGCGACAATAAGGATGTTTAAAGGATTCAGGTGATAAGAAAGTGTCACTCATCACAGATAATGAATAAACACTCACTAAACTGACATCTAGTTAGAGGGTGAAAGCAATAAAAAGAGAGGTTGCTTCAGAGAAAGAAAAGAAGCCGAATGCATTTCTAAGACAATGAGAGCAGCCGCTAAACCACTAAAGTAGATTTATATTGTATTTTCTGATGAAGGAACAGTGCTGTATATTTGATGGAAATGTTTTATCGCTTTGTTTGTTTTTTTTACAAATCTGTGAATATGCGAATTGGGTTTTGCTCTACAAATGAAGGAAAGTGATTTATTGTCATAGAATCTAGTTATGGCCATTTGTGTTATGTAGATGCCTTTAATCAATTTGATAAAAGAAAACAAATGATGCCACGTTGTTTTGTTTGTTGTTTAATCTTTTGTGTTTGTGTAATAACTCCAACAATTATGATGAATGAAGGTAGACGCTGCACATTTGCTAAAGCAAACCTGGGACTTTTTATCGATTTATAAAAACTGCTGCAAATGAAATCTTTATTTGTTTAATGTGATGAAAATATGCAACAAAAATCAAAGTAAATCAATGATTTGTCTTTATCCATGTTTCCTTATGTATCATTTTTAAAAGTGGGGAAGTAATAACTCTTGTTATGACTGTAATCTGTTTTAATGAAAAATAGATCTAATCATGACCTCAAATCGTTGTTTTTTTTGTGTCTTTTTAAAGATGTATGTGACTTTTTTCACTCAGTTTAGAAAAAAGACTTCATTCATTCTGGGCATATGCCGCCTTTTATGTATTTCCCCCATCTCACTCCTGTGACAGTGGCCAGCTCACTTCCTGTTTGATGTCCTTGTTGGTTTCTTCTGTGTGTGTTCAGTACAGTCGGGCCCTTGTGTGTGTCCTGTCTCTGTTTGATTGTCTGTTTTTCAGAGAACCAAACACTGGGAGATGGCGATGGCGGGAATTAAAAAGTGGAAGCTGCTCTGATGTTTAATTCATCTGTGTTTGTCCTGATTCATGGAATCCTGCCCTTTCTCTTGGCGTCTCCGAGTGTTGCCGGCCTCGTGTTTGTTGCTGAAACCCGCATGGAGACGGGACAGCGTGATGAGGATTTTTATTTACCCGACTTCCTAAGCAGCCATTCAGCTAATTCACACAGGTCTCTTTAATAATTCAAACGTGGTGCTTTATTCATTCACTACAGAGGAATCTAGGCTTCTATGCATGATAAATCATCGAGTGTGGAGGCAGCCTTGATGAGTCTAGCTTTGTTTGAACAACTCTCTGTATTACATTTCCCAAAATTAGTTTCTTTGCTAATTTATGGAAATGTCCCCAGAAACGTAAACATCATTTTCAAAGTAAACACAGTTCATCAGTTTCAGAACAACTTACTATAAACTCACAGTGGCCAAAATCAACAAAACTCGTTTTTTTTGTGAGAAAGTGAATCAAGATAATAGAAGAGAGCAGAACGTTAAAGGGAAACTCTAGAGAATCGCTTGATTTGCACAAAGTTGAGGATTGCAAAAGACCTTTCAGTTCCCATCATGCAACAATTAGCATATTCTGAGTAAATGACCCTGTCTTTCAAACTCCACACCTAGGTAGGTAGGCAGGCAGGCAGGATCCCAAATTTGGAGATTATTTAGTTGCAGTATTAAATTGTACAGGCATTACAATCTTTAAAGGTGGAAGAAAGTATAAATATAATTTTGGTAAATTAACAATAAACAAAATAAACAGTAGCAAGTCTATGTACATATCTACAGTACAAAGGACACTTCTATTGAGTATTCTGTTCATAGGAGCCAACATGCCTAGTTTTCCTGTGTTTATTGTTTTGATTATTCTCATTATTTATTAACACTTGTTATTTTCGGCAATTATCACATGGGTGTGGCAATGGGTATTTAGTGCACCAAATGTGCCAGGCTTGGGTTGAATGACGAAGAGGGGGAGCTCAGAACCGTCTGGTCCTGTGCAAAGATAAGGCTCTGACCAATGTACTGCCCCCACTAACATGCATCAATCTGGAGCACTTTGAGGGAACAACTAAGAGACTATAGGTCAAGTCTCAACATCCATGAAAAAAGATCTGTATACATTTTAATAATCAAAGAATGATGAAAACATAGCCAATAACATAACATGGCCAATAACCGATAAATGTAACTTATTTATTTCTATTTGTACACATGAATACAAGAGGAGAAACCACAGGGGATTCACACGACTGAAGCATGAGCCGCCGTGTGAATCTGCATTATACAAAATCATTCAAATGAACTGCTTCTTTACTCTAATGGATCAATAATTACATATACTTTATATTTTGATGCTAATGCTTTTGTGCTTTAACTTGAGTAACCTTTTGAATGCAGGACGTTTACTTGTAACAGAGTACTCTGGTACTTTTACTTAAATAAAAGATTGGAGTACTTCTCCCACCTCTGTTCAGGGGTGAGACTTGATCCTTCAAAAATCCTCTTGGAAATACCTTAGTGAGGATAGAAATGAAAAGAATATCAATCTAAGAGTGCAGTGAAGATATTAGGTTTTTGATGTCCTACTTTTTCATATTATTGTGCATTTTAGATCAACATTTTTCACCACTATGATAAGTTTTAACTGCACCCAGTCTAATAACCCTGCTCCCTCTTCCATGTAAAACACCTTTCTGCACATGATTTATTTTTTTTACTTTCTAGCTTTAAATTAACTAAATAAATAGCTTGAACCCAACTAGACTTTATCATCCTCATCTCAGCATTAAGACAGTGTGGAGTTTAAAAGGCCCCCAAAAACCCTTGGATGGGCCTGTATGACAGAGAGGTGTAAATACATTCTATGCTAAACAAATTGTTCATAATCATGTTATGATGATATTCATACCAGGCATACAGAGATCTGAAAGGGAATTTAGCTAAACAATCAGACACAACCAACAAACTAAATGAGCTCTTGGATGGGATTGTTTATGGAGCGGCATGAAAATAAATAATGACATGTTCTTTGTGATTGTGAGATATAGGCCCCATTTGGAGTGTGAGGCTATCAGGTAAATGTTTAATATCCTCTCTCTTCCTCCACATGGTTCCTGCCGGCCAGACAAAGCGAAGATAGTCAGCTCACCGAGATGAAACAGGAGATGAGGGGGTGAATGTCAAACTGATGCGAGGATGGGAACAGATGTGTAATGATTACTGGATGACTGGAAACACAGATGAAGAGGCGGATAAATGTCTAAAAAGGAATCAAAGATAAGACTTCCTGTGTCATTGTGCAAATGGCTTTTCCAATACCACTAGATATGTTTGAAATTCACTAAATCACGTTGTACAATGACCAAGAGGAGGGTCTGAGCAAGTCTGTAGTCATCTCCCAAGTCATAAAGTTTGAGTCCTAAACAAGTCATAATGTGCTCAAGCTGACCCAGAGAGATTTGGCTTTGCATCAGGAATAGCATATAGGATTAAGGGCACACCCTTATCCCAGTCTTTTCCTGTCTCAAGACAGTATTTTCCAAGCATTGATTTCAACGTTTGATGCCAATACTCAAGCGCACCTTGTGTCTCTGGATGGTAGGCACTAGAGACTGAAGGAGAAACTCCCACCCACTGCAAAGTCTGTCTCAAGGACTTGGAGAAGAAGGTAGTTCCCTGATCATTCTGCACAACTTTCAGTAACCCAATGGTGTAGTGATTTTTACGCTAGGGAATGGTCTCAGGAAACGGGTAGAGACACACATTAGAGTTAGTAAGAACTGATTACCAGCCTTGATCTTCGGCGCTTGACCAACACAGTTCTCAATAACATGTTCAAAGGGCTCACCAAAAGTCGGAAAAGGACGCAACAAAATACGATGCCATTTTGACCCTTGTGTATACTGCATTACGGTATTTGTTGACCACAGCATAGTTTGTATGCTATTAGTTAACATTGATTTCTGTATCCCTCAATGATACGCTTTTGCAAATTACAAGTGTCTGTGATTCCAGTTTAAAAGACGGGACTGACGAGACCACCATTATTGTTTCATACAGTAAAATACTGTGAATAAATGGTGACTCAGTCGCTGCCTGATTTCTGTTAAAATGTCTCTATTTGTGCCGACCACACACACACACACACACACACACACACACACACACACACACACACACACACTCTACGTCGTGCGCGACGACGCATCGCACACCACGACACACCACACACACACACACACACCGCACACACACAACACACACACACACACACACACACACTACACACACACAGCACACACACACACACACACACACACACCTATGGTCTAGTCACGCTTTGCTCTTTCTGTCTCCCGTCCACAACAGACAGCTCTTCTCCACCCTCTGGAGTCAGGCCAGTTAGTCACTGCCGGCTGGCAGCATGAAGTTCTTATTAGACTTATTGATCAGCATGGGGATAGATTATGGCTCTGTGTTTGTGTGTGAATGTGAGAGAGACACCTGAGAGCCAATCCACTGTAGCACCACCCAACATCTCATCAAGACTCCAAAACCAAAATCTAATCATTTTATCTTGTTCATTCTTAAAGGACGAAAAGTTTGTATTAATCCGCCGACTTATTGTTTTGCAACATCCAAAACCTGTACGGGGGATGTCACTGCGGGTGGCAGAACAACTCCGAATCAGCAGAATTTCAGGATGGAACTAGCNAACTTCACAGGTTTGGTAACGATGCAGCCATCAACGCATCTAAGTGTATTATGGGGTGTCATCAAATGCCATTACCATGGTGACGGATCATTCGCCATGAAACATGATGTCGCTTTAAGTCCCATCAACACGGTTCAATCGTCCCCCGATCTTCACTTGTATATCACCGGTCCATGCCTCAAAAGCTCTATGCCAAATCTGAGATCTCACCATATGCCGTTTCCATGGAAATGCATCCCTCGCCATAAAACATGATGTCGCTTTAACTCCTATGAAAATGTTCAAAAAGTGCTCAAACTTCACATGTGTACTAACAGTCCAGCCGTGAAGACATCTACGGGACAGTTTTGAGATTTCTTCAAATGCCGTTGCCATGGCAACACAATGCTCGCCATGAAACACGGCTTTCTCATAACTTCAGTGAAACTGCTCCAAACGCCCCAAAACTTCACAGGCTTGGTAACGATGCAGCCACCAACGCATCTAAGCGTATTATGGGGTGTCATCAAATGCCGTTGCCATGGAGACAGATCATTCGACATCAAGTTAGTTCAGAAGTTTGCAGTTCAAATATTCTGCTACTTTTCCAAGCCTTTTTTTTTTCACATTACATTTCAGCATAGCAGTTTAGGGTCAGCTTTTCCGCATAAAGCATTCCCACTAGTACATTTCTTCAGGAATTGCATTCTCTAGTTTAAGCTGATGCTGTACGCTGACAACCACAGCACAAAATGAATCACAAGAGTTCTCCCAAACACTTTCAAATCAATTCAAATTGGGGGAATAAGCTAAATAATGTTTAAAATAAAACAGCACAAACTAAAAAGAAAATGGTGTTACAGTCAGCACGTTAACCATTTATCTTCTTTTTTAGAGGGAAAGGGGACAGGGCGTTCTCGATACGATACGATAATGCTTTATTGTCTGACATTTTTCTTGTATCACTGCAGTTCCTTTTGCAAAAACAAGAACAAATAACAAGAAACACGGAAACAGACATTTAAAAAAACATTGCATTCACTGAAGACAACATGTTCAACACCCTCTAATTTGGAGCAAAAAATAGTGCATCGTTCTAAACTTTTCAAATTGTGGAATTTCCAGGAATAAAAGAACACTTGTGCTAAGAAACCCTCTTATTGACAATATATCGCCTTACATCCTCTAAACTAGGCCCTTTAGTTTGTGCTTGTATAGTTTTATGAGGCTGTGATTATTCTAAAGGTCACGACAGCTCATTGTAAACAACAAGGGCAAGATTCAAAACATGTTGTCACGCCAACAAATGACTATACTCTGCGGACTAACATCATCACACATGAATACAAATGGGCTCATTGGATCCACAAGATTTCCAGCTTTTCAATCATATGTGTGCATTTCTCTTTAGGGACAATTTTCAGAACAGGTGAAAATTACAGTATTTGTACTGCCTTCAATAAACGTCATGGTTTTCCCCGATTCTTCCAATCGTGCTCTTCTTATTCCGTCTGCCTCTCTCAAACGCTAACTGCTCACGTCTCTCACAGTCTAAGTACCCCTGGCTGACTTTACCATTTGTGTTCTGTTCACTCATGACTGACCAAAATACAGCACGTCTTAGAAGAGAAAAAAGGTCTGCTGTGTAGGCCTACATCTAATCTACAGCTCCCTCTTTCCATACCTCATCCATCCATCTGTCATCTGGGTCTATTACAACTCCTCAAAGCCCAGACAGGCCCTTCTTTATGAAAGCAGGCTGTCAGGAGAAAGCCCTCTCAACATGATGGGATGGCGGGATGTACACACAGACGATCAGACGGACGGACTCTGTCTGACTGTTAACTGAGGCAACATTAAATTGGTCTGCGCAGTGAAACTGGCCACAGGGGCTTTACTGCAAAAGTAGTTATTTTAACAAGCCATTAAAAGCAGTGTGTTTAGGTATTTAAATCTTGTTTCTCTTCAGGGTACAGAAACAGAGACCTGTAGGCCTAAGCTAGTTAGGTATGATTGTTTTTTTTCAATGCAAATCAACTTCTTATTCGGATATGCCACATGGGAAATATGAGTTCTTATTTTTGCTTAAAAAGGCTAGAAATGGAGCCTGAATTAGATAAAATGCATGCTTGTTATTTTTACTCAGTTCCTCTGGGAGACCAGTCTAATGGGGTTCCCAGAGGAACTGAGGAAAAATAATCAAATGCCTTATACAAACAAAGAAACAGCAGAGTCAGGTAATACATTCACATTTACCTCTGGAGCAGAGCTCTCAGCAAAGAGTGCACTTTCTGCTTTACACATTGAATACATCTTATTGAGCTATGTTTGTTACCTGTCTTCACTTCAAAAGTCAAATAATGTATGGATCACATACTAACCATAGACCATACACATTGCCATCTGTATAACAATTAACACAACTTAATATAGTTTTTGTATTTTTGATAGATAGCCTATACATGTGGGCTGACTCAATGATTTGGAACCTACAACTTTCTCTATAATAAACATGTTACATAGCATAATCAATCATACTCGGCTAAACACTTCCATCTAGGGGTCAAGTGAAATCATTACATCCTCAATGACCCAGAATAGAACGAAAGTATCAACGATATCCTCTCTCTGTTATTATTCATTTTGATATCAAAATTACTTATTTTTTTGCAAGCAGCACCATTAAACTGTACAAAAATAATACGGAAAAGTCTGATCCTAATATTCTTCCAGAATAGCTTATCAATGATGATGAAATATTTATGTTTCTAAAGTCCAGAATGAACTTTAAACCCCATAATTTAAGGGAACACAGACAGTTGTGTCCGTAATAAATGAAAAAGAGATACAATTTTAAAACGTAATCAAACTTAACTCTTTCCGTCTCCTCCTCGTTGCAGTCTCTTAATCCTCTCTCCTCAGTTTGACGTCCTTTGACCCAATTTCACCTGCTGTCATGTCAGGTACGTTGGTGGCATTTACACGTAGGCTATCTTCATTAGAAATAAATTGTCAAAATGGCTACACCACACAGCAACATACTCAACAAGTGAACTACGTTTTAATTATAAATATATGTGATGTTCACGTCCTCTCTGTTATGTGTTGAAAACTATTGACATTGGCTAATCAACATTTTACCGACGGAAGATGAGAGTAACAAATGCGTCACTTCCGGGCAAAGATAACGGCTCCGCCCACTTTTGGGGGAAAACAACGCTGTCAGTTGAACGGCGGTCAATAGAGAGGCGAAGTCCCTCCCCTTCCGGGAGCCTCCATGGGACCCCGGAAGCGGAAAATTATACATTGAATTCAATGGAGAGAGAAAACGTATCTTTTGATCCCGTTTGAATTGTGCCACGAATGACACATATGATGTTTGTCAATTTAAAAGAACATTTTGCAAGTCAAAAAAATTAAAATGTGTCGTAAAACTGTGAAGTAACACATTTTTTTGTGTTAAGCCGCTCAGTGAACTACATGTCTCTGGT